TCAAACTTTTTCCATTTTGGCTTTTCATTTTAAAATATTTTCTCAATGATTAGACATGAGTCTTCTTTATAGTCGAGATGTAATTCTCATATCTCCGTTACAATGATTGATAGGATGTTGAGTCTTTTCCACTTGAAATAGTTAGTGGCATACTTGTTGATCTCTATTCAAGTTAGAGCCCTTCTTTCATTATGATGCAAAGGTCCATGTCTTTTATGGTTATGGATGACTGGTTGAGTATTCTCCTTAAAATGACAGAATGCTTCTTTACTTAAAATCAATCAACAAACAAATTTGTTCTTTTTTAGAAGAACTGTGTGGTTCTGATTTCTTCATTTCACCTTGGAGATACGTAGGCACGGGGCTCTTGAAGTCTTGCTGAATCAAAATCATAAAAATCATTTCTTTTTCTCATCACTACCATCTTTTTGCAAATAACCAATTTTAGTCAAATACACAAATTTTTAATAGGTTCTCATGGAGTAACATGGATGTTTAGGGTGCTAATACCTTCCATTTGCATAACCAACCCTCGAATATTGTTCTCTTTGTTTTATTAGTTTTGTTTTAAAAACTTTTGTGAGTTTTATTCGCTCTTTTCCTATTTCTTTGGAAATAATAAATTGTGGTAGCGACTCTTGCTTATTGAGTTAAGTTAATCAATAGTTTAATCTATATTTTTCACTGCTACAAAGGGTGTGACACCCTATAGAACCATGTCATGTAGTCGTCTATATAATCCCAATGTACAGGAGATGGCACCCTGCGATAGTCCTCTGGTACCAAATGACTCTTGAAATTCTCAAGTATCGCATCAAGATCTTTGTGGAGGCTGTGGGAGGAGCGGACTTTGAGGGTGTCTCAGAATAATCTGCAAATACCTAAACTAGCGCATCAATTTCTCAGGAAGATACAGATACACCATACTTGACTCACGTGTCAGCCATGTGAAGTATAACGAAATGAAGTTCAGCATATGGTTGTGGTTGTGACTGTCGTATGGACAGAAGGCAATGCCATCTGCTGCATGACGGTTAAGATACACCCATAATAGCTCGATCACCTGATTCCCTATGAGTGTAGCAAAGGCATCAGCGTGTGGCCAATCCTCGGTGTAGTCATGCGCAGATTCCCACCCGGAGATGCAAGAAAAGTGGGAGATGATTCATCCCTAAAAATGTTTCAAATAAAATATTAATAACAATAGTAACAAAATATTTATAAAAATATTAGTAACATTAAATTACCGTAAGCAGCGTACAACTTCCTGACATATGCTTTGTCTTCCAAAGATAATCCTCGCACAACTTCGAGTACAGGTTGACCAAAAAGGCGGTCCCTCAGTTGTATTTGTGAATCATCGTCAAGTCGATGAAGTATTTAAGGTAGAATGCATCGACATAGGTTGACCTTTTGTCCATAAACATGGACATGTCAACTAGGAACAAAAGATAACACCTAATGGACATTGTTAGTAGTACTCAACTTGCATATCATCACCTTATGCATCCATAACCATCTGTAGATGTCACTTTGAGTTTATAAACTTCTTCCAAAAATTTAAATCTAGCATGAGCACCTCTAGTGTCAGCTACCTCATTTGTGGGATCAGTTGGGTCAATCCTCAAATATGTAACCAACATCTCACCGACATCTCGACTGAGTCTTTCGTGGTCCAGTAATTTTCTTCTGGTGGAAAAATGTGGGAGGCATGAGACGTCATTCAGGGTGATGGTCATCTATCCAATAGGAAGGTGAAAAGATGACATCTTTAAATGTCATCTCTTTGTGAATGTCACATGCATGACAAGTTTTATGGTGTTGTACATAGCAATATATAAATTGTCAAGACAAGAGTAGAGAATAACATTCTTGAACCAATCAACATCGGGTTATTCTTAATCCAATATCTTTCTTATGGGGTTTACGGATTTTAAACATTGACGCTCCTATAAAAAATCACCATCAGTCGCGATTAAATTAGTTTAAACCAGATGTAATGCAAAGGTAATAAATATACCTCTTCTTTCCAAACATACCTAGTAGCATGGTCTCCATAGAGATAAAGTAAAGAGGTATCAAATGAGCCTCCTGGATAACTATATACATAGGAATTAGTAGTGAAGGTGCGAGAAACACAAGAAAGGGGAGTTTGAATTGGGTTGCACCAAATATAATCTTTTCACAACTCAAATACAAAGTTAACTTGTGAATAAAAATAGATGAGCACAATTATTTTTATCCTGGTTCACTGTTAACTAAGTTACTTCAGTCCACCCTACAAGATGATTTGCCTTATCCACAAGGACTTAATCCACTATAATCAACCAATTACAGACAGCCACAATAATTTTGATCAACCTTGTTAGCAACCCCAACAAATTCGTCAATCCTTATTGTAAATCCATTATGACTGCAGTCAAAGTCTTCTTGAGAATCCAAACTCAAAGTCTCTCAAGGAACCTATCAACAACCATTGATTTACAAAGATGTATATAAAGAGATTCTTCTGATAAGCATATTACACAATGTTTAAGTACAACAACACAAAAGTGTTGATAGCCAGATATGAACAAAAGCTCTTTTTGCTATTTAAAAAACTATACAAAGGATATCTCAAAAGAGTTTGTGCAGCGCTTTAGTGTAGTTTTGTTGAACTGATTCGTTGATTTCAAGTTCTTCCAAGTCCTTCTTTTATAGCTAAAAAATAGATTCATTGGAGGATAGAATAGGAAACATAAATACAATTGTTTTGTTCCCAACGGTCATGGTGGAAATGGTAGATAACAAGTACAAAAGGTATGTCCCGATGCCATCTTATTAGAGTATGGGTCACGGAGTACTTGGTACTTTTATACTCACCATCACATGCAATCCCTTAGTCTTGATCTTTTTCTTCTATATCTTGATTTGTATGTTGATGAAGCATGTTGTAGAATGATCAGAATTTTGCATCTTCAGAACCTAAGTCTTAGTCTTCAAAAAAAATTCAGAGAACCCTTGTCTTCAGAATCTTCAGCACTTGGTCTTCAGAAGAATGTCTTCAGATCTTTAGAGCTTGTTCAACAGAACCTTGTCTTCAGCATCTTCAAAACTTGGAACAACAAAATTAAAGCTTTAGGAGGCCTCCAAAGTTTCCTTATGAAAGTCACTATCAGAATCTCTTTTACTAATGTTCCTTAGAACCGTTGCATAAGAAGCATTCCAAAATCTTGACTTAACTTATAACAAACCAAAAATATTCTTCCAGAGTGTTGAGTTCAGAGTCTGATGATGTCACACGCCTACTTACCAGAGTCAAAATATGTTTAGAAAAAACTACACACTAGATAGAAACCATTAGAGTACACAATTGTTCTCTAAGATAACGTGTAAAGTTATCATCAAAACATAAGGGTAGATGCAGAATCAATCTTGTTCTTACAAGTAATGGGTTCCTCATGGGCTTTAGGGGCTTCAGGTGCTTCATTAGCTGGGGACATGTGGTCCCATGAAGTAGATGACTGAGATAAGTGACAATGAGAAGTAGAATCAGATGGTTGTGTACCTTGACCTTATTAACCATCAAATGAGGTATCATCAAATTGTGGCCTCGTAGCCATGCCCCTGGCCCTCTCACGTCGTACAGACGTGTGTTGGGACATATAATCGAGCCTAATTATGCATGGGTTGTTTTCAGCCATTACACATTTAATAAAACTAGAAATTCACATTAAAAAATTCAACTAAAATGCGGCAAGACACAAATCTGGAGAGACGTCTCCAAAAATAGTTCAGACATAATCCAGAGATACATCTCCGTATGAACTTGCGGTTTTCAACAATGGCAGAAACTTCATTGTCAGCAATAGCAGATGTGCACATATCAGCTTATTTTTATTATATTACTATCTAATATAGCTTAAACAACTTATGTTACTTGAAACATCATTCAAAATACACAAAAAAAATAATGAAATGGAAAACTTATCAAATTAGAGTTGTGGATGAGAAGCTTGAATGGAGTGAGTAACTTTGCAGCAAATGAAGTAGAATGGAGTGAGTGAAATTGATGAAACTTGATCAAATAGGGTTTAGAAATAATTTGGAAATGTAGTTTTTTGAGTGACTTTTCAAAAAATAAAGGAGAAATGGAGGAGGGTATGGCACGTGTTTATGAATAAAACGTGTCCGGATATGTATATCCATAAAATCCACTGGATTTTGAATTAATAGAGTTTACGGAGATGTATCTCTAGACTCACCATTATGTTATACAGAGATATGTCTACAAATTAAATTTTGACAAAATAAGGGTGGCTCATCCATTTGTGTTGAAGGGTGTGTAAAAAAAGATGTGCATCTCCGAACGATAAAAGGCAGTTTTAGCTCTGAGACATTGTTGCAAAGAGTAACTTCAACCACCTAGCTAAGTTTGACTGTTCAAGTTGTCGGGTCGTAGATTGCATTGTTGGCTTTTGAAATCATGATGTTATTAACTCCTTTTGTTAACAAATACTCCTTCCGTTTCAAAATGAGTGTCGCTTTACCAAATAAAATTTATTTCAAAATGAATGTCATTCTCACTTTTCAATGCAGAAATGATTATTATTTTTTCAATTGTGTCTTTTAATTATTACACTTTACACTACCTTCAACACATTTGTAAGGTTAATTATGATAACATTATTACATTTTTTAATCTGTGTACAAAAGTCTTAAATGATACTCATTTTGAAACGAAACAAGTACTAATCACTTATTTAGATAGTTTGAATATACAATTAAGCATATATCATAGAAGGAAAATTCAAAACAGAAGCAACTATTGAATAATAGTCGTTGTTCCTAAATTATCTTTAAAGCTAACATTCAGACTGGTACATATCAAAGAGCAGCATTCTCCTTAATCAGGTAACAAGAGGTGCTTACACATCTAACATGACTAAAAGTGCAACACTGTAGTCTTCATAAAACATGTAATACAACTTAAAATGCACATCTGCGTTCCTTTTAACCAGTCACTTAGAGACTGGATTTTTAGGAGCTGGGTTTTTTCGAGGTCTTCCAACTGACTTAACTTTCTTTAACTTAATATCATCTTCCTGAACAAGTTCTTTCTTCGTCGTTTTAACTTGTGCTTCCTCTTTCAGCTCAAGAGTAGTAGAAACTTCAGATATCTTTTGCATTGTTTTCTGAGAAGATCTAGTGTTCCTTATAGTTGCCTTTGGTTTCGGTGTTTCAATTTTTGCTGCAGAATCAGGTGTGGTAGGTAGTTCAGACTTTTTTGGCATTTTTTTCTGAGATGATTTAGTTTTTCTACTCACATTTGTCCTCTGTGGTTTAGCATCTTTTTCAATGCTACTTTCTAACAGGCTTTCTTCAGAACTCTTTGATTCCTTAGTTTCACATACAGTGGCACATTTTTGCTTTTTAGTCTTCGGTTCTGATTCGCGATTATTGGCAGCCTTAGATTCTTTTGTTGCTTTGGACAAGTGCATATTTTCTTCTTCCACCAAAGTGTTGTTTTCTTCTTCTTTCTCTTCTTCATATGCATCTGGAAATGCTCTAACAATATAAACCTGAAGTAATATTATTGTCCATTTGTCATAATCATTATTTATTGTTATATGAAGCCTGAAACATGCTTTTTGAAATGCAATAGAGCTCGCTTTGAAAATTGATAGTAACAAATAATCATTATATTCTTAAAATCAGAAACGATATTTTTGCCAAAATATCTTTTTTCGTCTTTACAAATACATTAGGAAGTACGTCATATGCTAATTATGTTTACAAATAATCTAAACATTAAAGATTGTGCAGACTATATAAAAAAATAACTTACCTTAAATCTTGCAGCTTCAACCAATTCAAAAACAAGTGCATCGCCATCATCCAACTTATGTTCCAATGCAAATGCTCTCCAGCCACCACTAAGCCCAGTTCTACTCCCAATGTAAACAGCCTCATATTCTGATCCTTCTTCATCCTCTAAAACCATGTTATACACTGTTTTTGGAAGATGTTCCTCACAAAATCTACTTGGAAGACCCTGGCAAAATATAGATAATACATTAAGAAGTACGTCATATGCTAATTATGTTTACAAATAATCCAAACATTAAAGATTGTGCAGACTATATAAAAAAATATTCTGAACGGAAACATACCAGCCAAAAACAGCTATAAACATGGGACCGAACCATAGACTTGATAAAAGATGGTTTCGAAGAGTTCAAATTGATTTGGAGTGCCTCTGCAGCCTCCAAAGCATGATTTCTTTCTTGATTTGTAGCTTCTTTGATTTCTTCTAGTGGCCTTGCAATGTAACTGAGAGTCCCATAACCTTGTTATTAATATTTAAATTAGCAATATAAGAAAGTCATTGAGTAATTAATTAACCACCTTGCCCATGATGACGGAATCGACCTCGAACTCTTCCGGAGATTTGGAAGGTCTGTACCAAACTGTAATAAAATGAAATATACACTGTGAACAACATTTCTGCTAGACAATCATGAAAGCTAAATTATCGTACTTTTTTTGTCTTAGGGTACAAAAAAACTCAACAACAAATTCCTAGTAAAAAAAATTAATTCTAGATCCATTCATACTAGCTCTAGATATTCCATTATCCAGAGGTGATTCAATCCCCTTTCTTGAGTCACACACTTTTTGTTTGATTCATTGCATTATGGTAATTTGAACTTTGCAAGACAACAATGCTTACCTCTTCACGATACGAAGGAACTTGGTTTCTTGCACGAGAAGAACGCCTAGGTTCCACTACAACAATAGTCTTCGATTTTGGTCTGTAAAGACGATTCTGCAGAGAAACAGTAAAAAAAATGTCAAAACTGAATGTTGGTTCCTTATTGATTAAAACCAAATCAAAATTTGAAAGTTCACCTGGGACTTCTTTGCTGGACTTGCACTTACAATTTCGGTCAATTTTTTAGATATTGTTGAAATTCCTAAATCCTTGAGAACAAAACGGAAGTTATGTTAGGTAAGAAATCACCAAATTAGAACAAAATCATAAGTGTGGTTTCGGACACTGAAACACAACACCGACAGTCTGATACAGACACATAGACACTAAAAAATTAAACATAATCATAAGTGTGGTTTCGGACACCGAAACTAACGCAGACACGCCTATTTTCAGAGGTGTTGATGCTACAGAGTTAAAACATGATCTAAACCAGCAATGAAAGTCTTGAATAGTTCATACAAACAAAGTATAAGTAATAATGGTTTATGATACATTACTCAATCAGGGTATAGAAACAATATGAAGCCACAATTTATACCACATTAGGGTTTTTTATGTTTCCACAAGCCAAATTACACAACAACTTGTGCAATATTATAAATCACAACCCAACCACAATCTTAAACCTAGATTTCAAACAACACGAAATGAAAATCCTAAAAGTCAAACAAAGGGTGAGTAGTGATTGAGATTACCTGAAACCTCTTCTTGTTCTCTTCAAGTCTTAGTTTTCTAGCTTCTTCATAGTTGTTACTACAGGATCCCTTTGCCATCTGCTAAAACAAACACACAATGGTTCAAAACACACACAAAAAAACGGAAGAGGAAGAAGAGGTGAAGTAGAAATGGTATTAGTACTGGAGTGGAGTGAGTCGGAGAGAGGGAAAAGCCAAATTGATTTTCAAATCTTTTTCTTGCATACAATCTTACCGCTCTAAACTTCTAATATTATATATTCTCATTCCAATTTCCAACTCTAAGTATAAACTTTTTTTTTTTGTCATTATAGTAATATCATTTCTAGAGTTTTATTCCAATAATTATTTTCCTAATTATATAAAAACTGGTTTATTTTTTATATATATTAAATATTATGAAACAATGTATCTGATCAGATGAATTGGTTTTTTAATAAATGTAAAAAAAAAATAGTTTCTTTTTATAAATATAATTAATTTGAGTCTTAAAAGACATAGGTTAAAAAACCCATAAATAAAAAATTTATATCAAAAAATACAAACAAAAATTATTATAAAATTTTAATGAAATTAATGTACAAGAAAATTTCACGTTTAACTCTAAAGAAAATAACATTATGCTAACATTACCCTATTTTAATTTCCAAACTTCTCTATATTTTAATCTATAATATTATTATTTGTTACTTTACTAAATAAAGAAAGTTTTTTTTTTAAATACATATTTTAATTTATTTTTTTTCAATTCAAATCTTGTGTCTTAATACATTCTTTTAAGGCGGGTCTTCAATGACTTACTTGTTTGAACGTAATTAATATATTATATAAAATATTAAGAGAAAAACATTAATTTTCAAATGTGGTAACTGGTTAATACGAGAATGTAATTGGTTATTGTATAGTGAAAAACAATTTTGAAAGAAGAAAATGCAGTTTTGAGTTGGCATTAATCAGTTATGCATTCGCGTTAATCGGTTATATCACCGATTACGTCCACGAGTTTTTGTTTTTTCTTGTATTTGAATTATGTGTTTTAGGTCTCAATCATTAAATAACACTTCTATAAATATCTTGGAGACATGATTAATAATGAAAATTATCATTCACCATCAATTATCTTTTGCTAATTCTCTTCTCTCTCACTATCTCTTTCTCCACATACTCCATAGTTTACCAATTATGTAATTGTATGTTCCAACATTTGGCATCAAGAGTCTAGTTCTGATCTACAAATATGTTATTTACAAAATTGAATTTGGTCTCCAATGATATAGTCCCTACAAATCTACCAATCCTTTATGCAAAGAACTACGACTAATGGTGCAAACAAATGAAGGTGTTGTTTGGCTATTGAGATGTTCTTGAAGTGATCAATAATGGGGTGAATCTCCTTGTCAAAAGTGCAACGGATGCACAGCTAGCAACACACAAGGAAGAAAAGAAGAAAGATTACAAAGCATTGTTCTTGATCCGTCAATGTGTGGATGGTGACAACTTTGAAAAAGTTGGTGATTGCGAGTCGGAAAAGGAAGCGTGAGAAATCTAGGAAAAGGCATATGCATGGGTTGATAAGGCAAATGTGGTGAGGATATAAACTCACAGACGTCAATTTGAATTGATTCAAATGGAGAAAAAGGAGACAATAAATGATTATGTGACACGAATTATGCGATTGGTGAATTAAATAAAGTCTTATGGAGAAATTGTTTTTTAGCAAAGTGTTGTGTCAAAGATCTTGTGTTTTTTGACGACGAGATTTGACAATATTATAGTGGCGATTGAAGATTCAAAGGATCTTACGACGTCGAGCAAAGGATGGAGAGGAGAAATAACGATAAGGAAAAGGCGGAGATCGCTTTGCAAGCACAGTTCAATGAGAAGAACAAGAAGTCAAAGGGAAAATGGCCCATGAAGAGTAAAGAGAGTTTTCAGAATTTTGGTGAAAAAGAATCTCAAAACTTGAAGAGTTCGACTTGTCAAAAGGGTAAGAACAGTCTCAGCAAAAATGATGGTCAAGGTGACTTTAGAGGCGAAAAAGGAAAGTTTGACTTAAGCAAGGCACAGTGCTTCAATTGTCAAAAGTTGATACACTTTGCAAGAGAATGCAACGCGAACAATAGGGAATCTCAAGGAGATGAAGCCAAGGTTGCTAGACAAGAGGTGGGTGATGATAATACACTCTTGGTCATGATCACGAAATGTGAATACAATAATAGTAGGCTGCGGGGCAGAAGCAACAACAATAACAATTCTAGGAACGCTACAAAAATGTTTGCAGAAGAAAACATTATGGTGACTGTGAGAGAAGGAGTCCAGTGCAGCAAAAACTATAACTTGGATTCTAGTTATTCTACGCATATGACAGTGAGAAATGATTGGTTTGTCAAAATCAATCTGTTATACCTTAATTTTTTCCCCTAAGATCCTTCATCACTTCATATCATCACAATATATCAAGATCACAAATAGGGATTGGTTATCTCTTCTACTCTCTCCTATCTTTAAGTTTGTCCTTGAGGCATCGCCAAACATTTTTACTTGTGTTATACCTTTTTTATATTTCACTAACATCTAATAATATATATATATATATATATATATATATATATATATATATATATATATATATATATATATATATATATATATATATATATATATATATATATATATACACTTACTTTGTTCTTTTTGTATATTTGTGTTTTGTAGGTATCGAGCCAAAGCATCCAACCAACAGAGCTTTTTGCTACTTTTTCTCTGCAGAAATCGATTTCCTCATATATGGAAATTAATTTCCCTCACTCATTTTGCGCCAGGATTTCAAGTTTTTTACAGTGGAAATCGATTTCTCCTATAGTGAAAATCGATTTCCTAGGACGAAATTGGCAACAAAAAAAAGGCAAATTTTCAAGTTTGTAGCATGTGGCTCCAATTTTAATTTTTTTGAGAATATTCTTGATCACTAAAAAATAATTCCCCTACCTCATCATAATTAAATTCTATCATACACCTTCATTTGATGCCATGTGCAACACTTGATCTTAATTTTAGCTCTAAAATCAATTACCAAGCCTAATTTTGGTTCCAAACCACCAATAATCTCAAGCCTAAACTCTATAAATAGAGACCTCATTTCATTCATTCATTAAGCTTTTGATAGCCAAATTCACCTTGCAAAAAACTCTCTCAACTCTCTTCATCTACCCAAAATCACTCAAAGCTCAATTTCCATAAAAGTTAGTAAGTTTTTCATTGATGCTTACTAGTCTTTGAGTTAAACCTCCATCCAAACACTTTCTCTTCATTATTTTGGTAGATCAAAACTTTGGAGATTGATTCTTGGGGATGATTTGAAGCAAGTTTTGATGTTGATTGATAAATTTATAGATCCATCTTTGGTAAGTTTGATTTTCATCTTTCACAATGTGATCTCTAATTGATCTTTATTGTGTGATTTTTTTAGCTACGTTTTATGATTCCATTGGTGCTCTTTTCTTATAATTTAATGGAATTTTCGTGCTCAATTAAATCTATAATCATAAGGTGTTTGATAAAAAGTTTGATAAAAAAGATTCTCTTTAAAATGTTATTTTCTGTAAATTTTGCAACAGAAGTCGATTCCCTATATATAGGAAATTGATTTCTCTCACTGTTTTTGCGCCATACTTGAAAATTTTGCGTAGGAAATTGATTCCCATATATGGAGAAATCGATTTTCTGAAGGCAAAATGTTGTTTTTGGCTCTGTTTTGGGGCTGTTTTGGTTCCTTTCTTTTTTTTCTACTCCTTTCTTTTGATATTTGACTTTGGATTACAATTTTAAATGTTCAATTTCTCTTCAAATTCAATGGACTTAGGATGTAGGTGAAGTTGGATAAACATTCATTAATTTAAATCTATCTTAGAGTGAATTATTTAATTCATTTTTGGTGCTTTGAGTTAGTGATATGTTTAGTACTTTAATCTATCAATTATGAGTGATTGATTTTGAAGATGAAATAATTTTGAGGTTGTTATCCAATGTGACTTCTCTCTCCCTCTACCTCTTTTTTCATTTCCTTCTTTTTTTCCTTTAAGTGATCATTAGTGGCCCAAACTTTATGTTTGAAAGTCCAAGTATGGTTGATTATTAGATTTTGGTTCAAAACCTTTGAAGCTTGTTGTTAGGAGGCTTTGATTTTATCAATCCTCTAACAAGTCTTCATCAACTTTGATCTAAGTTCAATCTCCAATCATCATTTATCATTTATTATGGAATTCATTTATCTCTACTTCATCTATTTCTTCTTCTTTTTCTTTTTATCATGACTTAGGTCTTGATCTTTGGTTTTAACTTGTGCTATATGTTTTAGGAGTATAGTTTTTACCATGTCTCTAACATGTATGGTACATACATTTCTATTAAACGACCTCAAAATAGGTGTGACTTCTACATAAGTCCACTTACGATTGCTTAATATATCGCTAAATTTGTCCCGATTCTAAAAATGATCATTTGTGGCTCAAACTTTATGTTCAAATGCCCAAGTATGATTGATTGGTTATATTGGGTCCAATACCTTTAAAACTTGTTGTTAGGAGGTTTTGATTTTATCAATCCTCTAATGAGTTTTCATTATTATTGATCCAAGATCATAATTCAATCATCATTGATTATATTTGTGACCATTAACTTATAACTCATTAACAACTAACTTTACTTTATGCGTTTTATTTATGCCTTTACCTTATGCCTTTACTTTATGCATTTGTTTTATGTCTTTACTTTTTATGCACTTTTATCTTTAGCATTTACATCTCATGTTATTTTCCCTTTGCTTACTTGAGCATTTATTTTATATCATTTTGTCTTTTCTCACTTGAGCTTTTATTTATGTTGAAGACACTTAATAACTAACTTAAACATTAAAATACTTAAGCCTCTTGTATGGACTATTGGTTACTATCTTTGACATATTGGAGTTGTGGACTTTTTGGACTTAGGATTAGAAGCTTTGATACTTTGAGACATGAAGACCTTTGAACCTTGTGTTACTTCATTATTATTTTGCTTGTATTGGGAAATCTTTTATG